TTACCAAGCAGGAGCCAACTACACATATTTTACATATTGAACTGCATGATATCCAGTACTCCATATAATACCAATAAGTGTTATATCCCCAATGTATATAAACCCACACTTGCCAAATATCCCAGTTTAGCTGGGAGAGATGGTTCCTTTACTTAAGGGGGGGGGGGAGAGGTAGAGTCATTCTTTCTAGAAAAATTAACCCTGGAAAATTCTGATTTCTTCCATCTCAATGGGACAAGAGGTAGAGAGGATGTTTGCCAGTTCTCTTAGGAGCACAGAAGCAGGCTGGCACCTGGGCTGGATACTCCTGCCTGCCTTGTTTGGCATGCTAGAGAATACACAAGTGAGTCATCTCCAGCTGGTTTGGCACAGGCATGTGACAATTGCTGTAAGAGCTCTCGTCATGAGAGTCCTTGAGACAGAGTTGCAGAAGAGTGGTATATACCAATAGCACTTAGACTTACATACCACTCCACAGCACTCTCTGGATGGTTTACAATGTCAGCATATTGCCTCCAACAATCTGGGTTCTCATTTTTCCAACCTCGGAAGGATGGAAGGCTGAGTCAACCTTGAGCCCAGTCAGGATCAAACTCCAGGCTGTGGGCAGAGTTTGCCTGCAATACTGCATTCTAACCTCTGTGCTAGCAGGGTATATAACAGAAAATGCTGGCCATGAGAACTTGGCAGGTTTATTTTATGTAGTCAAAAAAGTCAAGATGGCCACAGCCATGTTTGAAGCTCTGCATTGGGCACATATGATACACAATGTGGGAAAAAAATAACAAACCTATTGCACAGGAGCTGCCATTTTGACTTTTTTTTTTAAAACCATACCTTGAGATGTCATGAGCTTGTGACTTCTCAGCCTTAGGGGGGGGATTTACGAGTTCTTTGTACTGTTAATCATTGGATAAATATATGTTTCATATTCTTAAATTACCTTACATCTTATGCTAGGAAAGAAAAAAAATGCCTTAATTTGTGAAGGGCAAAACGATGCCCTATAGCTGTGTATGCTTTGAAATGACTTGGAAGTCTTGATGTCAAGCAGGACCAGGGAATTAAAGGAATTCCTTAAAACTTTGTTTCTGAATCTTGGTAACTTCAAAATGGGTGGACTTCAACTCCCAGAATTTCCCAGCTATCATGTTGGAGAGAGGAGTTCTGGGAGTTGCAGTCTACACATTAAAGTTGTCAAGGTTGAGAAACATAGCCTTAAAAGCGTTCCTTCCTAGTTGTTTTTGAATCTTCACCATTAATAGCTCCAAGCAGCAAAGCTCTTGGCAAACGAATTGAAGATTACAGTATAATTCAAAAACATCCGGAAAATACCTTGTTATAAGTGTGGTAGGTTTACTGAAGCTTAATTCCTGGTAAATCTGCAAAGGGAGGAGCCCTGAATATTTTACTCTACTGTAAGAAAAAAAAAGGATTCTTTTTCATATTAATAACAAAATAATGCCTAACCTTTTAAAGCTGAGTTAGTACTGTATACTAGTACAGGCCAGCTGTACTAACCTGAATTTAACCAGTCTTTCCAAGCAAAAATAGATAACCTCCTTCCTCACAGTGTTTTTAAAATGTTAAAACAGCTTTTGTTTTCCATTTTTTGAGCCTAGGCAAGGAACCAGGCTTTTTTTGTCTTTTCATCCGTTCCTTTTTCCTCCCTCAATTTACTCCACACCTTACACCAAGGGTCCCCAAATTTGGCAGTTTTAAGACTTGTGGACTTCAACTCCCAGAATTCTCCACCTTAATTTAATCCCAGCATAATTCTGGGAGTTGAAGTCCACAAGTCTTAAAGCTGCCAAGTTTGAAGACCTCTGCCCTACACACACATCTACGGAGATTCTCTCTCACACACACACGCACTCTCCAACACTTCACGCGCGGAGCACCGAATCGTCTCTCCTTCACTGCACCCATCTGTCGCTTTCTAGCCCCACGTTCTTCGATTCCCCAACCCAGTCACGCACATCTTACGCTTCCTTTGCCGGCCCTGCGTTCCTGCCCAGACGTTTGCCTTTTTTCCCCCCTTCTTCTTCCCAAAATGAATTAACGGCTCCGTTTTCTTTCATTTGATGCAACCGAACCTCGAAAGGAGAACCGTAAACAGAAACCGGTTCGCAAAAGTTAGTAAGAAAAGGACAATCTCCAGAGAAGGAAAACCTCCAAGCCGCTAGAGGGCAGTGTAGCTTTCGGGACGGGGGGGGGGGGGAAAGGAGGGTGCGGAACTTTTCTGCCCTCGCCGCTTTATACGGCGTGCAGGACCGCGGGCGAGCTCGGGCGGCTTGAAAAGGCAGAGCGTCCGCACGGCGTTTCCCACGGTTGCTAGCACGATGTTAGTATTTATTATTAAACCCGCTTTCGGCATTAACGTTGGTTGGGGCAGGGATGAGGGTTTGCAAGGAGAGAGAGAGGCAGGATAGGTTCAAACGGAATCCTCTCTCATTTGCCCGACGGGAGATCGGAAAAGCATCGAGGAATGAGAATATTCATTTGGGAGAGAAAGCAGGAATCGAGGGGGGGGGGGGGGGGGGGGGGGGGCGTGGGGTGCGAATAGGTTTGACTGACAGCTGCTTGATTCTTCTTTCTCTTGCTCCAGAAGAAGAAGAGTTGGGTGCCCATAAAAGGATAGGAATCTCTGAAGCGTGGGAAGCGCCGGGGGGGTGAATGGTGGATCCCGGTTGAGACGCTTATCCCTCTAAAGGCAAAGAGAGGGATTCCCCAAACCTATTAAAAGCCTCTTTATTTTTTGCACCCAGGAAGGAGACGAAACGGGGGTGGGGGGTGTCGGGTGGGAGGTGAAACGTCCTAGAAGTAGCTCCTTCCAAAACGAAGCCTCTGGTTAAGCGCAACGGCAATGCGGAGAACAACGAAGGGAACTTCCCCTGCATTTCCTCCTAGCTCTCCTTGTACGGTTTGGAGAGGACCGTTTGCAGTCTCGGTTCTTTGCTGACACCTCGCGTCGTTTAATGGGAAAAGTCGTAGCTGCCTTTTTTTTTTTACGGCTTCTGGAAAAACGCCACAAAGAGTCCCGGGTGACTCTGCTGGCAAAAGCGAAGGGGCGATTCAATGGAAGAAAGCCCCGAATTTGGGATGGGTGGCACAGGGCAATTTCTCGGTCTATCCTCGCATAGTGAGAGCCAGCGCTCCTGGACTAGAAGATTAAGGTGCTTCAGGGGTGGTTTTCCTCATGGAATTGAAAAAATAATACTCTAGTTGCATCCTCACATATAAGGGAAGGAGAGCTCACTGTGTTACTGTACTGTTGGCCCTTTGAGATAGTCCATATTAGAAAAGCAACCTCCTGAATACTAGTTTTATTATAGATTACAGTAACAAGTTTAGTAGTGCTTCCCCATTCTCCTGCCTTTATTAGGGTGGGTCAGTTCTGAAACACTTTCTCAAATTTCTGGTTTGGGCTCAGATTTCATTTATCAGAATTTATTGCCTAGGCCAGGGGTCAGCAACCTGCGGCTCTGGAGCCGCATGTGGCTCTTTCACCCCTCTGCTCCAGCTCCCTGTCACTCAAAATATGCGTCACAACGGCCAATGTGTGACACCCGCCAGCATGCGATTTATTGAGCTTTTCAACCCCCCGTAGGCCAACCATGGATAAATCCAAGAAAAGAAAAGTTTCAGAAGCAAACAATATTTAATTCAACTACATATGCTAGTTTTGTAGCCACTCAAGAAATAGTCAGGCACAGGAAGGGTTTTGTGGCTCCTGATGTTTTCTTTTCTGTGTCAAATGGGTCCAAATGGCTCTTTCAGTGTTTGCAGACCCCTGGCCTAGGGTTTGACTTTTCCTTCTATCTCGGTGTTATTCTCACAGCATATTACAGTTACAGAACTGATTTTGCTTTTGGGGTGTGTGTGATAATGTTTGGACAATGTAGGAGGACAGCAGTGTTAGTCTTACAGTGGTAATAAATTCAGGTAGCATCATTTCTAATTAACAATGTAAGTAAAAAAGAATAAGGGTATGCCTTTTAATAACATTTGTTAGTCACAAAAGGTGCTACCAGACGCTTCCTAACATTATGGACAAGAAGCTTGCTTCCTATTTTTTTCTGGGGTGAAACTGCCTTCAGGGTAAGCTGGCCTTTTATTTCTAAGTTCCTATGTATTTCTCAGGAAACAGATTGCGACTTTTCTGCAGTTTATTCTTTGTTGGCAAATACAAAGTTGAGTAATTATGTAAAATCTGGCATTAAACTGTAGTATTAACATAGGATGTTGCTTGTTTTCTATCCAGTTTAGGCACTTACTTGAGGCCACATAATTGTAATCTAGTTCAATCCAGTCCTCCTGCAGCACTCTGCCAGCTGAAAATGGGGGCCTCCATGCTGCCTGTTTTTGGCCAGCAGAGTGCTTCTGGAGGCTGGGGAGGCCGAAAACGGGCCGCATGGGGCCAACATGCACCCCCTCAGCTTGTTTTGGCTGGCAGAAGCACTGTGGGCTGGTCCTTTGATATTTCCAGGCTGACCCCGCGGACCACATTTAAGCACCCTGCAGGCCGGATCCAGCCCAAGGGCCTTGAGTTTGACACCCGTGATCTAGGCATTCGATTAAGCTCAAAAAGCTAAGTATTTGAATGGGAACCATCAGGAAATATAATGTTGTAGACTTAAGTTAGGAAGGTGAAGAAAAATTCCCAGAGACGTTCATGGCAACAATAGCAATGCTTTGAAAACTATATGGATGTGTTCACGAAAACACTATGAGCCAGACTTGAAAGACCTTTTTGTTGTTTCTTCTAAGCTCCATTTTCTGGGTAGATCCTCCACTCTGGATAATGGACATTCCTGAATATTTGTTGTTTGGGCCACAATGGCTTATGATCCCCTCAAGGAATCTTCTCTTAAATAAAAATAAATAAATAAATAATTTTATTTCTATACCGCCCTTCTCCCGAAGGAATCAGGGCAGTGTACAGCCTATTAAAAAACACAAAGACAAACATCAGTTAAAAATAATTAAAATTATTACATAATTCGGCTGAAATTTAAAACCCCAAAAATTTAAAACCCAATTTAAAAATTATTAAATTGATAGCCTGGCTTGGTGGAACAGCAGGGTCTTGAGGGCACAGCGAAATACACGGAGGTCGGAGATCTTGCGCATTTCCGGGGGCATTACTTCCTTACTTTTTCAGTAGTTATTATAAAGAGAAAAAGAGTGCCAATAAATTTCAGCCTGAAGTCCAGGACCTAGTTCAGAGCACAATGGTTAAATCAACCAGGTGTCCCTTGGATAGATGCTTGGTGACTTATCTGTCACTTCTCCTTCACTATGTGTTCTCCTGCTAATACCAGTGGATAGAATTCTTATGGGGGAAAGATGATAGTTTCTTAATGTTGGAGAGGTAGAGTAATTCACTCTGTGTGTGTGTATGTGTGGGTGTGGGTGTGGGTGTGAGAGAGAGAGAGAGAGAGAGAGATAACATGAACACATTAAAGAAAAAGGATACAAAATAAAAAGGAAAGAATGGCACATTATATTTGTATACATGGATGTATGGAATGTCTGAGTGTGACAAGGACTCTGAATTTATAAGACCTTAAATTGACATGTGAGTTTAATTTAAGATAATCACAGCCCAGTGTTCTTTCACTCTCAAGATGGTTAGAAATGGCTAAAAGATATGGGATGGGACTGTGATGGCTTTGGAAGGTAAGCATTGAAACAGTGACTTCTGACAGAAAAGAAGTTATTTGTGCCTCTCTTGCGTGTTCATTCAGTTGGTCAATAAATATCTGAAATTGAGAGCATGCCTCAATGCCACACTGGGTTAAACACACTAACAAAGAGATGGAGGTGACAAGGCACTATAAATTAAGCTAAGCAGTATACCCATTGTACAGTCAGCATTGTTTGTGTCCATACTTTAATGGTATAGTCTGTCTGAATGCAGAAATGTTGGGGAGGAATTAGGGCATGGTAAGCTGTCAATCTAGTTTGCCTGTTCAACCTGCCCTACTTTGTCCAATGTTCCACCCTAGGTAACCCTGATTGTTGTCTTTATAATAGGACCGGATGTTGCTTGCTAAAGTATACTGGATGGTCATTTATTAGAGAACAGATTGTCAGAATGCTTTTGCCTATATTTGGACTTGCCAGCAAGGATAGTTTTAAAAGATTCACTTGAGAACCCCTTAGAATTTGCTGGCTGCTTTTGATTGTTGAGCTGGGGACCGGTGTCAGCCTTCGATTGTAAGGGCTGGGCAGTTCAACACTTAATTTACATTTCAGATACTTCCCCCTTTACCAGTATTCAAATTAGCAGCCTCTTCTTTCTTTAAAAGAAGTAATGGACAAGAAGAGCATGTTTAGTTCCTGCTGTGCTCTTGTGAAAGCAACTAAACTGTTTCTACCTGTTGTTAATTGGCAAGCAGAAATTTCTAAGGAGAAAGGTGGTGCTACTTGAGGCAACTCCCATTCATTGAAGGTATTTGGTGCTTTTTTTCCTATTTGCACTTTTCTTATACATAATACTTGGACAAGGATATTCTTGGCTTCCTTGATCAGATATTGTAGAGTACTAGGCAGTCTAAGTCTTGGAAAGAAGGGCTGTGAACTAAATGCTCTTGTTGCTTACACTGTAAAGGAACAGGAACTATAACGGTCACATTTCATATAAGTTGGGTTGATTTTTGAGAGTTATAACTGAGGAAGAAGTTGTTGTTGTTAGTTGCGAAGTTGTGTCTGACCCATTGCGACCTCATGGACAACGTTCCTCCAGACCTTCCTGTCCTCTACCATCCCCCGGAGTCCATTTAAGTTCATGCCTACTGATTCAGTGACTCCATCCAGCCACCTCATTCTCTGCCATCCCCTTCTTCTTTTGCCCTCAGTCTTTCCCAGCATTAGGCTCTTCTCCAGCGAGTCCTTCCTTCTCAAAGTATTTGAGTTTCATGAGGAAGAAGTACCTTTCCCTAAGTAATGTTAAAACAGAGAGGATGAGAATCTTCACCCAGTCAGGGAACCCAAGAAGAGAAATATGGTTGACTAGAGCTTTCAAACCTGATTGAATGCTTTATTGCCATTTTAAAGCAAAGCAATTTGAGATTGACACCAAGGTGAAATTAGGGAGAGCCCAAGCTACAGATGTTGATCATTGGCCATTGCTATGACTGATATTTTCTCTTATCTCAAAGCTACTCTCTTTTTCTCTTCTCTCAATACCATTATCATAGTGTTATCTGTATTTTTCTAATCTAGCTCCAGAATTCTGATAAAAATCAGTCCCATGCAGTATGCCAAATATTAAGGATTTAAGCAAGGATACCTGATTTACTGTAGATTAGAATTGATGTGATAGAATTCCACTTTGTGAAAAGGACAATACGTTTACCTGCGATTATGCTTTCTGCTCAGTGTTCTAATCCGTATTAGGATAATTTTCCAAAACATTTGTGGTTCTGCCATTATCATTATCATTATGATATATTTTGTTTCTCTTATTTATTTATTTTTTTGCCAAGGGTGATTTTTAAAACATTTTTATAAGGCAAGTTACATGTTTCTCAACACAACACATTGTGCAATTATAATAAGATTGCACAATTTCAATAGAATAATGGGCTTAGTATTTTTGTGCCTGTTTTTAGGTAAGTGATAATAAACATTCTTCAAAAGTCGTTTGCAGGACACTTTACTGTAAATCAGTTGGCAAATTCTCAATTTCTTCCCATAATAACAACATACATTATTACTAAAATGAAGATGCTTAAAAAGTAAGTTTTTGACATATCTGGGTGGTGTTTTGATACAGAGGGTCGTGCCTGTTTGGTCTGCCAAAGAGACACCATCAGTTATCAATTCTATTAAACTGCTACCTGTTAATTGCTTCCTACCATCTGTACTTACTTTTGTCCTTTCAGATCAGGTGAACATACTTTCAAATAAAACTCTGACCTGTACCCCCAGCAGGCATATGGGCCATTTGGGGCGAGAATGTGGACATTAAAGTAATACTGGTGCTTTGCTTTATAGCATGACCACTTCCATTTATATATTAATGTGAAAAGTCACACCTGTGGGCATAGTGACATCTCTGTTTCTAAAGGTACTAAGATATTGTGCAGCTAGGAAAATGAAGTACTTAAGTAGGCAATTGTCTCACAAAATTCTATGGCCGAAGTGGCTTACAAATTGCATTTTATTATTGAAAGAACATGAATCATGCATATCAAATATAAACATCAGCATGCAAAATAATTCAGTATTTTACATCAATCTTTGTTTCTGTTGGAGACTCAAATAGCACATTGTTGGCTCAGCCTTAAGATTTTACCCATTTTTAAGGAGGTATTATAAAGATTTGGAGTTCTTAGTATTCTCTGATCTTGATTGTTTGCTTCCAGACATTTCATTACTCAACTAGGTTACATCACCGGTGCTACTGAATGTAAAGCTTGCTCCCTATTCTATATTCTATGTAGCTTCCTGTCAGTATTGGTGGAAGTGTGGTTTTCTCCTTAGTAGTTCCTTAATTAGGGTCCTGCTTGATTGGTATTAATGCCTGCTTAGTTTATGGGCATCTAGGAAAGAGAACAAAAGTAGTATTCTACCTAGAAGTATGTGAATGGTAGATATCCCTTCTGGCCATTCCTAACTAGGCAAGATGGAGAGACAATCCCCCCAGAGCATCTCATGTGAGTTAGATGGTATCTCAGATGCAGTGGCAGTGCTGGCTGTGTCTCTGGAGGCTATAAGGGTCTAGATGGGGAGGATCCCCCAGGACCAGATGATTCTTCATCTTTGATTCTGGATGGGGTGATACTTTCCTGGACTGAACTGGAGCACAATTCTGGGGTCCTCCTGGACTCACAGCTCCTGCTGAAGGAGCAGATGGCAGTTGTGGTAAGTGGGGGGGGGGGACTTTGCATAGATTTGTCTGGTGCACCAATTGTGTCCTTTCCTGGACTGGGAGGCCTTGCTTGTGGTCATTCACGCCTTGGTCACCTTCCGTTTGGACTACAATGCGCTCCACATGGTGCTGCCCTTGAATACCAGCCAGAAACTTCACCTGGTCTAGAATGCAGCACCGCACACAGTAATGAGACCTCTATGTAACACCTCTGTTGCACGAGGTGCACTGGTTTCCAGTTTCTTTCTAGTGCAATTCAAGGTGCTGGTCATCACCTTTAAACATTTATAGCACAGGGGCAGAGATACAAGACCATCTTCCCCTAAGGACATCTACTTGTCCTACCAGGTTACATAGAACGAGTATATTCCTAGTCTCTTTCCATAAAATTGTCATCTGATGAGAGCTAGGAAACTTTTCCATGGCAGCCCCTGCCCTGTGGACCACTCTTCCCCCTGAAGTTTGGCAGGCCTGTACCCTTTTAGCCTTCTGTAAGGTTTTAAAGACCTAGCATTTCTCCCCAAAATTGGGAGATTAGATGATGGCACATGATCACAGAGTTGTGTCATGTTATTAACAACTGCATTGTTATTTTAATATTTTATGTTTTAATTGATTGAATATTAATGTTTTGAAAACAATTTTATGTCTTTTGATTTTTAATGGGGAGTTGCCCAGAGTTGCTTGAGAGATGGACAGCTATATAAATGTTGTAAATAAAATAAATGGGTTAGAGGGATTGAGTTCTTTTAAATAAGCTCCCTTTTTCTTTGTTACTGATAAATAATGGGGAAGTCCCCCATACCTCCCCAAGTGGACCAAATGTACAGAGTGATGCTCTCTTTTCAAATCCTCACGCCAAAATGCCTCCCTTGAACAAAACTGCTCCATATTCATACTTGATTCACATATGTGCAACTCTGTGGTCTAACTGGAAACATCAATACTTCATCTGTGACTGGTTATGGGACTGTTTCAACATACTGCCTTCTTGCAATTTGCCACATCCATGGCCTCTGGGATGAGACATTGGAGGAAGTATTGCGTTGTGCTCTGGAGAAACATTCGAACAGTCCCACAATTGGCTTGAGCTGTTCCTTCCAGAGCTCAAATGATCACGTAAGATTGTTCTAGTATACTAACACTACATGTTCTTGCCAAACAATGGTAGGAGACTGCCACTAATTCCACACTATTGTGACAACATGAGACCTGCAAGCAATTCTGTGTGCCCTAGTTACCTAGACGTGATCTAGGCTATTGTGATGGAATGTGCACTCACAGCATCAGAGGGGGTGTATTTTGTTAATTTAGAGCCTTTGCCAAGAAGCCTGGATTAAGAAACTGCTTAGTCCTGAGCTGGACTAAATTCACCTTAGAATCTCTCAAGATATATCTGATAGGAGAAAAGGTAATATGGTAGTTTTAGTTTAGTAGGTTTCTGTCCATTAGGTGCAAGCAAATAAAAGATTTAACTTGATTGGATTTCATTGTCTCATCTGTTGACTTGGGCCTTACAGTTATGGCAGGCAGAAATGAGAAGGCGTAATAAGAGCCATATTTAGCTCGTATCTCCTGGTGAGGACCAGAGATGTGAAGTCATTATGACATTACCCATCAGTGATGTCATATTACAGCATCTTAAATGCAAGGCTGCTTCCTACATAAAACTTAACTAGAGTCACCTTGACTGTTGAGAGAAGATAAAAGAGCAAATTGGACTTGGATGTTCCTTTAGAGTAGATTGCTTTTTTACATACAGATCATCTTTTGTGGCCTATAAGCAGGTGATCCAGCTATTTCAGCAAAGGTTTTACAGAGAGTAATATATTTTTTGAAAAATAATGGTCTTCTATGCTTGTGGGATAAAGAGGAAACCTACAATCAGTTCCTCTTTTTTGTTAAAGGTTTAAAAGCAATAGAATTTATATATTATTTCCAATGGGGAGAGTGAGTTACCAGACTGTTTTCTCCTAATCTCATGCAACTATATGTAATCTATTGCATTTGCGTAGCTTATTCAGGGTGGTATTCCATACAGACATTCTGCTTGTTGGTTAACACATGGTAATTTATATTTGGACAGTAAAGAAAATGAAAAGAAAGTTTCAAAGTAGCAGCTTGTAGGAATTTGCCTGTTTTCTATTTGAATGCCTATCATCTTCAGATATCAGGCCCACGAATGCAAGCTGTACTCCAATCTTTCTTGAAACTACTGGAGCAGGTTGGGGAAATTACTGGGATAATAGAATGGTAGTGGTTAAAATAATGTTTATTTCGATGTACAGTATGTGCTATTAAATGGATTTCTGTATTAGGTCCATTTGTTGCTGTCTGGGTGTATTTCAGAGGACGCTAATTTGGGCTTAACCTAGGCAAAAGAAAGAAGGAACTGCTGAAGTTTCCCTGTAATGTCAGTGAGATGATTAACTCTCTGGGAAGTAAGTATGGATTGCAAGCACATTTCATTGTGTTTGTGCTTTCAGGAGTGCACCAAACTCTCTCTCTCTCGCTTGTGAAGTTTCATCACGGTGAGAAAAATGGGTTCGGTTTCAGAGATGCTCACAGCAGTCCCCCTTCACAAGAGGCCTGATCTCCTGGAGGCCTGTGCTGACCTCATCAACGAAGAGTGGAAACGGAGCCGGACCTCCCGTATCCACTCCCTGCAAAAATCTAGTGACAACTTTCCCATGTGCCTGGTACTGATCAGAACTTTGAGGCTAACGGAGGAAACTGCAGAAGGGAAGACGTCTAATACCCAGTGCCAACTTCTAGGACATGCCAGGTTATCCCGTGTGGTTGGCCAATCTAACAGTTTGTTTGTGGAGACCGTGGTGGTTGCCAAGGCCCTCCGTGGAAAGGGCTATGGCAGGAAGCTGATGGAAGCTGTTGAGAACTTTGCCAAAGCCCACAGCTACCAGCATCTGTATCTCACCACACATGACAAACAGCATTTTTATGCCCACCTGGGCTATCGCTTATCCAAGCCTGTCCAGTGGGCTGGATTCATCAGTTCTCTGGTACCTATGGAATTTTTGGAGAACTTCTCTACCCCTCAACATAAGATGGAGCTTCCTGCACAATCTGGGAAGCATAATACAAATGCATCTTACCAAAGCAGATCTGGAGCAAACTTTCCTCCTTCACCATGTGCTGTACCTCTTTCTTCTTCTCCTTTTTGCTCAGTAGCCCCCCCTTCATTGCCTTCTCCTTGTTCTTATCATTCAGGGACAGCTACCATTTCTCCCCGTCTTCCATTGCCAGGTCCCCACCCATCCTTTGTCCAGCCCAGTCATGCTCTGGTTCACTCTTCACTGTCAGCTTCCCCATTTGCCTCTGCTGCCCCAGCTCTTCCACCTTCTCCTCCTCCTCCTCCTCCCCTTCCACTTCCAGTGCCTCCACCAAGAGCCTTTTTAGTAGGCCAACCAAGCTCCGGAAAACCTGCCTCTTCCAGGGTTTTGGAGAATACATTTGAAGAACAAACGCTTTTAGAAACACCTTATCGGGATCTGAAAGGGCAGCCCATATTCTGGATGAAGAAGGATATTTGATTTTCTCCCGTCATGTGACTGTAAAATAAAGATGAAATAAATGAATAAGGAGGAAAAAGGGAAGCCTTTCTTGTTTTAAAAGGAAAGCCTGGCTTTGTGAGACAAAAGATCGCCATTTAAAATGAATAAAACAATGCATTTGGTTTTCTGTTGTTCTTATCAGTTTCCTTTCCGTTGAAAGTTCAAGATGCTAAGACTATATATGTTAGGTACACTTTGAAGGCCAGCACTTGATTCTCATTGAATTTCAGTAATTATTGGCAAAGTTGTACTGTTGGGGCTATACCAAGCTGCCCTATAGATTCCCTTGCTTCTCCTGCATTGCATGTCCCAATAAACAGAGCACCTTCAAAACTCTGCAAAGTGTCCCTTCTGACTCTGCAGGGAGCATTCAAACGAACACGTACATTTGCAAGTCTGTGGTGCTGATGCATAAAGAGACTACCTTTGCCATCCCTTCTGCTAGACTTTATACAGGGTTTAACTACATTTTATTGAATAAATTTGAGTTGATTTGGTTTATCAAACTTGCTAAGTGATAAAGCTAGATTTACAGCCATAGCAGTCAGCTTCTTGTAACTCATCGGTTCAAACTCAAGCTATATTTATTTACATGTATTATAGCTGTCCCACTCCGATGAACTTGGAGTATACAAGACCAGAAAAAAGAATCCATAAGATCAAAACCTAAATACATAGATATTTATCTAATATTTGATTTCGATGGATGAGTCATTGCCTTCACTTGAATTGAATAGAACTGAGGTGCTGCTTTGGTGGGGTAATAGTGGAGCAAGCTTGCTGCTTCAGAAATTTGTCCCATTCTTAACTTTTACTTCACGAATGGCATCTGTAATAAAAGTTCTTTCCCATTAGCCATCATACACTTATAAAGTGATTGTGTTTAAAGTTTTGTGATTGTGTTTAAAGTTTGGTTTGAGGAAAAAACAACTCTTTAATTATATTGACTCCCAGGACTTCTAATCCACACAATCTGGAATTATGGGCTTTGGAAGCTCTAACCTGGTGCCTTCCAAAGAAGTTTGTGTATAGGTTGCTGTGATAGCTTAATATTGGCTCCCTGGTGAATCCACCTGCAAGAGCATTGCATATTGTGCAGCCAAGTGTTGGATATATTCAGACAGTTTATGGATATAAGTAATTTAAATACATGAAGTAATGCAATGTGATACTTCTATTACAGTATTTAGAATTAACACTTGACTTGCAATTCCAAATTCTTTAAATTGCTTTTTGAAAATGAAGAGGGCAAACCCCGTCAGAATTCGTTCACGAAGCAGCAACCTTGATACAGCTGTAAAGGAACTATTAAAACAGCATGTGCATGCAATTTTTTGAGGGATGTATAGGAAATGGTATTATTTCTTCATTAAATGTTGTACATTAATGTTTCTTGATACTTAAAGTCCTTGAAATGAAAAATTTCCTTTTCATATTAAAAGCTGCACAGGTGACGTTGGGCATACAGAATACCAGGTGTTGGCAGATATGCAACACTTCGGCCTAAAGCAGTATTTCTCATTTTTGCCAATTTTAAAACGTGTGGGCTTCAACTCCCAGAATCCCCCAGCCAGGCTCGGAAAATCAGAGCTCAAATTCACGCGTCTTTAAATTGCCAAGGTTGAGAAACAGTGGTCTAAAGAATATTGTTTTTCATTTTAAACAGGAGGAAGGTCATAGTTCTCAACGTATGACCACAACTGAGTCCAAAAGTTTTGAGTTCAAAATTGAAAGAGTTGCCACGCTTCTGAATTTTGATCATGTGACCACGGGAATGCTGCAACGGTTGTAGGAAAAATGGTCATGTCACTTTTTATAATGCCATTGTAACTTTGAACAGCCACAAAATGAACTGTTGTAAGTTGAGGACTACTTTTACTAGTAATTTTTCCAATATAATGCTTGGGATGGCAAAAGTTGCTTGCTCCCTATTCTATGGAAGAGACTAGAGCAGTGTTTCTCAACCTTGGTAGCTTGAAGATGGGTGGACTTCAACTCCCAGAATCCCCCAGCCAGCAGCGCTGGCTGGGGGATTCTGGGAGTTGAAGTCCACCCATTTTCAAGCTACCAAGGTTGAGAAACACTGGACTAGAGGTTTCTTCCTCACAGCTCAAAGTGCTTTCCTCCATGCCTGAGCTAGAAGACCAACTAGCCATTTGCTGTCATCTTTAATAGCCCTAATTATTATCTCTTCCGGCTTGAGATAATAGCTGGAGAATGCACTTCCCATTTTCAATGCGGGGGAAGCCTGTCTGTCTTCTCAACACGCCCAGCTGATGGAGAAACCAGTTTTCAGTCTTAGTACTGCTGTACTTGTGATGTCCCAAAGGTGCTTTTTCAAGAAGCAACTGGACTTTCTGGTTTTTCTTCGAAGACGTTTCAGTTCTCATCTTGGATGAGAAGTGAAACGTCTTCGAAGAAAAACCAGAAAGTCCAGTTTTCTCTTGAAAAAGCACCTTTGGGACAACTGGATGACTGAGATTCTCCATAGACATGTACTTGTGACGATTTTTGGTCATCAGCAAGGTGATGCCTGACAACATCCACATGCTCAGCCATTGATCAGAATTCACACACCCTTTCAGAGGGGCGCCTCTCCCAGTTTGGTGGAACCTACATCAGCTGGCTGATTGAGTGATAGTAATAACAGGTGACTAATAGCTGATAGTGATAATAGGAGGGGGGGCTTTTGATCTATGATGTCTTCAAGCCAACCCTGATATAGAGATCTGATTTAGTTCTGGTAGCTTTTAGCTTGAACAATGGTTGACGGATAACAAGAGGCTGCATAAACTGATTCTTCGCTGCATCATTAGGCACCCACCTTCTAGAAGAAGACCAATTTAGCAATTATGTCCCTGACAGAAAACAGAATCAGAATCAAACGGACCTCAGAGTTCTTCTAATTCAATCCTCTGCTCAAGGCAGGAAACCTTATACCATCCTGGTGAGACCTTATACCAGGGTGAAATCTACTTACCTTCCCTACTGGTTCGGAAGTGCACATGTTGTGCATCACGTGCAAACCCTTCTGTGCATGCGCAGAGGGTAAAAAATGGAGGGTGGGCGGAGCCCCGCGCTGCCGTTGCTACCGGTTCCCCGAACCACCCGCCACAATCGCTACCAGTTCAGCTGAACCAGTAGCATTTCACCCCTGCCTTATAACATCCTGGTAACTGCTTGTCCAGTTTAATTTTTAAAAAGCTCCAGTGATGGAGCATTCACAAATCCAGGAGGCAAGCTATTCCGCTGATTAATTGTTCTGTCAGAAAATTTCACTTCTAGGTTGGATCTCTCTTTAACAAGCTTCCACTTGTTAAAGTAATCCTTGAGATACGACCACAATTGAGCCCAAAATTTATGGTGTTAAGTGAGACATTCGTTTAATTCGACTGATTTTATGCCCTTTCTTACCTCAGTTGTCAAGTGAATCACTGCAGTTCTTAAGTTAGTAACGTGATGGTTAAGTGAATCTGGCTTCCCCATTGACTTTGCTTATCAGAAGTTTGCCAATGGTGATCACATGACCCTGAGACACTGCAACCGTCATAAATATGAATCAGTTGCCAAGCATCTGAGTTTTGATCATGTGACCATGGAGATGCCGCAACGGTTCTAAGTGTGAAAAACAGTCATAAGTCACTTTTTTCCAGTGCCGTTATAATTTTGAACGGTCACTAAACAAATTGTTGTAAATTTTTTTTTTTTTAAATTTATATACCGCCCTTCTCCCTGAGGACTCAGGGCGGTGTACAGCCAGAATTAAAAAACATGAAATACAAATATTAAAAAACAATTAAAATATATATAAATTTGGCCCAAAATTAAAAATACAAACCAATTAAAACATTTAAAATTTCTTCTTAAGCCAGCCCGGCTTGCTGGAAAAAGTGGGTTTTAAGGGCACGGCGGAAGTCACTAAGGTCTTGGATTCTCCTTATCTCTGGGGGCAACTGATTCCAGAGGGTAAGTGCCCCCACAGAGAAGGCCCTCCCCCTGGGGGTCACCAGCCTACATTGATTGGCTGATGGCACCCTGAGGAGGCCCTCTCTGTGGGAGCGCACGGGACGATGGGAGGTCGTCGGTAGCAGCAGGTGGTCTCGAAGATATTGAGACCGAGGATTATTGTATTTGAGGATTGTATTGTATTGTAATTGAGGATTATCTGTATTTCTTGTCCTGCCCTCTAGTGCTTTGGAAAAGGTCAATCCCCTCCCCTATGGGACAGCCCCTCGAAGTGCTGTAGGACAGTTATTATGTCCCCCTAATACTTCTCCAATAGGCGTGACATAACCTTGCTCCATCAACCATTCATCATATGATTTATCTCCAGGCCCTTTATCATCTTTGTTGCTCTTCTCTGTATGTGCAGTACATCAGTGGTGAAATCCCGCTGATGATCAGTGGTGAAATCTATCTGGCTCGCACAAACCGGTAGTGCCGGTGGCGGGAGGCTCTGCCCCCCCAGGAGTCATTACGTCCCGTTTTTGATCCTCTGTGCATGCACAGAAGAGGCAGGCACGCGCATAGCACGCTTGTGCTTCCGCGCACTCCTGTTCCTAAACTGGTAGCAAAGGTAAGTGGATTTCACCGCTGCAGTACATAATGCACTATGAAGTGGCAGAGAGAATGGGATCTTTCCTGCTTTACCCTGTATCTCCAGTTCTCCCCATCATGGTTAGGCTTCTGTAATTTGGCTGATCCAGGTCTCTGAGTCAGAAATTGAGTGAAATTCCATTTTGGAAGAATCAGACTTGCTGACCTAAGCGTAATGGTCTTTCAGGAGAGTACCACGAGACAGAAAAGGAAGGGTGTGGCATGGTGTGGTGTGGCTGCACTATTGACTTGGATATCATGATCAGGTCAGCAAGTGCCAGGCTGGTACCATTCCCAAGAGATCACCTGGCACTGCCATTGACAAAATGTTGCAGAGGCATATCAGAAAAACTGCTATTGCTTGGTGGCTACTGAAGGGAGAGAACACTGGACATTGAAACATCTAAATACTTCACAATGCCTATGGGTTGGAGACAAGAGGAAGCAAGATTATGGGAACATGCTGTGGTTAATTGCAAGTGGGATAAGACACAAGTGTGGCTTGGAGAATGATCTGAATCTTGCGTT